GTGGGGGGTTACCACAATATCATGAATTCGTTTGCGTTCCAAAGAATGCCTCTCTGTTCCGTCATCATTTCCTAAGCCTTCCCCTGCAAACGGGCTACGTAAACGAGTTTATGATATTATGGCACCTATCACTCCCCCCTCCCCCTCATTTATTTCCTCAGTCTACCCCCCCCCTCAACCTCTCGCCCCCACCTGCCGTGTCTTTGCTTGTAATGGTGTTATCCCTGTAGCAACACTAGGTCTATTGGAGCAATGTGGCCCCGAATCTTTTTACAGAGTGAATTATTTTCCTCTCTAAGTGAATGTTCAACCGCGTCGACACCCGTCCTTCTTTAACAACTTAATGTCGATTCTTTATAAGATATGGCTCTAGCCTTGCTTCAGAACCCTAGCCTATATACTACCCCCCGCCAGGGAGATAAATTGCTTTTACGGCAAAGAGAGACGTCTCTTAGGAAGCGTTCGATCTATCAGCAAAGATGACAACGTCCACACAATCATCACAACCGATGCAAAGAAGGAAAAAGGGGAGTGAAAATGGCTCTAAATGTCTACTGCATTGTACTGCCATTGAACTATTGGTCCCCACACTTGAATAGCTTTGATTTTACGCTTCTCTTGAAGCGCAACGCCCTGCCTTGCTATGGCTTTTTTGTCCGAGCTCATAACGGCGTTGCCACTTGACTGCGCCGACACTCACCTCGCCGTCAGGCAGAACGTAATGCCTGAACCAACAGACTGGCGCCTAGGCGCTCAGAATCAGAAAGTGAACAGAGAGTGCTTAAAAATGTAAGAAGTAGCTGCAGTCGACATACTGGTTTAAGTTTACCCGTATAAAGTATTAAAAACCTATTTGATGCCACTATTTCAAATTTGATTGAGAATGATATCAGTTTGTGTCAATAAACAGCAATGCCGTGTATGTTCCCCGAAAACTTAGTGGTATACTGAATAAAACTAAAAGGAGTTTGTGAATATCTATGAGCCTTCCGTTGGAAGGAATAAAGGGCTGTAAATAAGCCCATAAACCCCCTCGTCACACAAATTTGGAAAAGAGATCTTGGCATCGTAATAAAACAAAATATGGTGAAAAGCTACTTACGTCACTTTCTGTTCGTCATTTGGATTTCATTTATTACACAGTCTCGCCTTAGCACTGTCAGTTCCGATTCCCCACAACTGTGCATGGTGTCCTGATCGACTCGTGAAGAGAGCCGTTGGCCACGATAATCACCTGCAAATCCTCGCCTGACCTCGATCGCGAACCAACCTTGCCTTTAATACATTGGGACACTTCAGTCTCATAACGGAATTGAAATCTGATCCATGTGTCTGCATCTAGCCCAGGACTTAGAGCGAGAGGGGCCTCAGTTTGTCTGCTGGGTTTTGAACAAACCGTAGGGTTCAGCGCTCCCCCCCGAAAGCCTAAATAACCTGCATTGTATTCCTTTCAATTCCCTGTCCATTCAGAGATGGTGAAAAAAACTTTGCATCTTTCTCATGTTTTCTTTTATTCTGCCGCCTTGCGGAGGTGTGCCCAGTTACAGTACGTGTCCGGATCTCTTAGAAAGGTACTGAACCTCAAAGTACCCAATTTCTCTTTGCTCGCCAAAAAGACAATATGACAATAATTAACGGCGGAAGAGTATACAAACTTGGTTCAGTTGTGAAAGCAAAATTCTAAGATAAATCTAACTCCAAAGTGCAGGAAACATCCATTTTTACGTAGATCACGTTTTTAAAAACAGTTTCTTTATTTCTGAAAAAGATAGTCTAAGCGTTCACGTGAGGAAAGATACAGAGATCATGGACAATGTCCCGGTTGACAAACATAGATTTCGATTTTTTATAAAAAACCCACCTCTCCATACGGAAATAAAACTTAAAATATCTTCAGCCCCCCCCCCCTCCCCCCGGGGTTGTTTCGCGTGAACTGTTTCCATAAATTTGTTGATTCAGGTTGATTTACAGGCACGGTGATCCAAGTGAAATAGAGGCAGATTGTGAGAGAACATCCATTGTTTTGTCGTGGTTAGTGTTACTTTGAACATTGCGGTGCGTCAGTGTTGTGCACACCATGCACGTGCGTGTAGATGTATGTGTGTGTGTGTGTGTGTGTGTGTGTGTATGTGTGTGTGTGTATGTGTGTATGTGTGTATGTGTGTGTGTGTGTGT